AGGGTCTGTGGTAGGAATCAGGGCAGAGTTGTGGGTCTCAAAGATCTCATGGGCTAGAGAGGGAAACAGACAGGGAACTTGTGGTGATGTGGTGGTGGTCATGCTGAGGACACACAGAAGACATGACAGTATCCCTGTCTGGGGTGTGGGGGCACCAAAGAGGCCTTCCAGAAGAAGGAACTTCTATTGAAGAATCATACAATTACTCTGAAAAGGAGCATATGGGAACCAGCTTAAAGGGGACAAGATGGGGACAATACAGGGGTTATTTCAAGGGCAGGTGGTACTGGGCCTCCTAAGAGATTAGAGTCAGACTGTGGTTTGTTTGTGTGTAAGAGAGAGACAGACAGGCAGACATAGATGAACAGAAGATTTCAAGCTCTGTCCTTGAAATTGGTACACATTGTCCCATTAACATCAGAGGTGCAAGTAATGCCACATTGTTGTTTTCCTAACTTCAGAGACCTCCTTCCCCAGGGTCGGTGAGAACCCTACTATCAGTCCTCTTTCCCAGCTCTCTCCCTTGATTTTACCAGAATCCTAGGATTTGTGTTGTCCAGGAGACTTGAAAAACATTCCTGGTTCTCAGTCCATGGTGGGCCCTCCATTGTTGCCCCTTATCCAGACTGACTTGGTCCTGAAGGTGGTGGCCATGCAAGTAGGTCATTTAAAGAGTAAAGCAGATCCTGACTGACTGTCTCCATAATGCAATGAAATGGAAAACAAACATTGAGATTGAGTTGGAAAGTTGACTCAGTGGCGCTGTAGACATAATAAACTGCTTGGAAGCAAACTTCAGCAAGAATATGGACACAGAGAATTGGGTTCAGCTTCTACAGGAAGCCTGGGCTTGAGGAGTCAGTGATGTGCTCAAAATTGAGCATTATGCCAAACAGAGACTCCCAAACAGGAAAAAGGGGATTAGGATGACACAGGGAAACAATAATTACACTTCTGTGCTGCCAGGACGCCCAGGACCCAGGTATAAAAGCTACCGACTGGAAGCATGCTCCACTCCAGAACCCACCTCCTGCCTGATACTTCTCCAGCGAAACACAACAACATGTGTGACACCCTCTGCTCCTCAGGCAGCCAGTCAGGCAGTTCCATACCCATGTGCTGCACACCCCTGAGCTGTGTTCCCACTGCCAGCGGCTCATCCTCGGGCTCTGGGAGCTCCTCCAGTCACCCGGCATCCTATGTGATTGTGCTGTACAGCCCCGTGAGTGGCATGGCCTCCTCCAGCCAGTCACCCAGTGGGGCTTCCAGCAGCTCTGGTGGAGACCAGTCATCTTGTGGCAGCTCTTCCGGAGGCATGACCCACGGTGCATCCAGCCATGGCCAAGTTGCCTGCCTTGTGCCCGTGAGCTGCATGGCCTCCTCCAGCCAGTCACCCGGTGGGGCTTCCAGCAGCTGCTCTAGTGGCGGCAAGTCATTATGTGGCAGGTCTTCCTGTGGCATGACTTGCGGCGAGTCCAGCCCTGGCCAGGTTGTCTACTTTGTGCCCGTGAGCGGCATGGCCTCCTCCAGCCAGTCACCCTGTGGAACTTCCAACAGCTCCTCTGGTGGCGGCCAGTCATCGTGCGGCAGCTCTTCTGGAGGTATGACCGGCAGCGCGTCTAGCTCTGGCCAAGTTGCCTTCTTTGTGC